GTCAAAATAAAGTCATTCACTGTAATGTGCCAGTCCCTAACTTCACTATATAAAGGGAAAAGAAAATATAGTTTTTGTTCACTAAGTATTATGGCTACGTGGCGTTAGCCGCCTTCCGATCTAAAGGGTAGGGCCATATCATTCAATCCATATATCCATCCATTCATCCAAATTTCTGCCGCATTTTTCTTTTTTCATAGCAGCTGCGACAACATTGGTTCCAGCACCGGGCTCGCATTCTCATTTATACCGGTTGTTTAGCACAACCAAGCGTAGCCAGCCTCGCAAAAACCGTTTTTGGAAAGACTATTGGTGCTTTAGAATGGGAAATCAGGAAAACACACTACATTAAAAAAATGGCAGATCCGACGAACAGTGGGAGTTGATGATATGCGAATCACGAATAAAAAAGGTTGATAGGTCACTTTGATATCAACATAACGTTACGAGGTGGAGGTAAATGAGGCCGAACATGACTTCCGTGTCATGATTATCATGTTTGGATGTGTTGTTTACCTTCGTCATCTAATCACGTCACGTGACACCATATTCCATATATGTGGAGCCAACGAAACGCCAACGAGCACGCTATGAGCGTGGTATGTTGCCATATTCTAACATGACACAAGTGCCAAGATTAACATGTTTGCATCAGTCAAATATTTCGTCATCATTGACGTCACGTAACACTAAATTCGGTATATGTGGAGCTAGCAAAACGGCCGCGAGCGCATCATGAAGGGCCCAATATATTTCAATGTAGCGTTAATGCGCGCGCACGCTGGGCACAGCGACACTACGTTAGCAAAACTCGAGCACTGCATAATCTGACGCCAGGCGCGACCAGCGTCCGTCGGCGCGGCCCGGCGGCAACCGGCGGGACATACGACATGCTGCATTTTATACCGATGCGTTACCCAGACAACACTACGTCTCCCTCTTTTCATGACGGAGAGACGCCGGACGCACTGAAACGTAGCTGCGTGTTTTGATGCGCGTCCATCAAAAAATTAGCAGATCCCACATACAGTGGTAATGAATGATAGGCGAAGCACGAATGAGAAAGGTTGATGTGTCACTTTAAAATCAGCGCAACATTACGAGGCGGAGGTAAATTGTACTGTACATGACTTACACGTCATGATTATCATGTTTGGACGTTTCATTTATCTTTATCGTGTATTCATGTCACGTGATACCAAATTTGGTATATCTAGAACGGCGGCGAGCGCATCATGAGTGTGGCATGTATACTACATAGTTATGTTGTTACATGACATGCGATGCATGTCATAATTATCATGTTTGGACGTGTCATTTACCTATGTCATCCATTCACATCTTGTAATACTGAATTTCGTACATGTGAAGATAGCAAAACGGCCGCGAGCGCATCATGAGTGTGCAATGTAGTCATGCTGTTACATGACACGCATGTCATGATTTTCATGTTATGACAAGTCACTTATGCTCGTCATACAGTCATAATACGCCATATCTTTTTTAGTATTGATACCTTATCAAAACGGCCAGGAGAGCTAAAATCCGCAGCAGACAGACAGACGGACGGACGGACGGACAGACAGACAGACAGACGGACAGACAGACAGACAGGTAGGTAGGTAGGTAGGTAGGTAGGTAGGTAGGAGGTAGGTAGTAGGTAGGTAGGTAGGCAGGCAGGCAGGCAGGCAGGCAGAGACAGACAGATAGACAGACAGATAGACATACAGACAGACAGACAGATAGACAGACAGACAGACAGACAGGCAGACAGACAGGCAGACAGACAGACAGACAGACAGACAGACAGACAGACAGACAGACAGACAGACAGATAGATAGATAGATAGATAGATAGATAGATAGATAGATAGATAGATAGATAGATACGCTCAAGGTCGCCGAAGTTAGCCAAGAAATGCTTCACATTTACTAATAGCCTGAAGCCCTATCTACAAAGAACGGAGGCAGCCCTCAGCTGAAATATATTGTTACGCACAAAGAGGACCAGGACATACAGCTGAAGGGGCCGTATATTTTGGTTCTGAAGAGAAGCGCTGCAGTGGCCAATAGGCTGGCTCAATAATGTTACAACGGTTGCCAGCATCGACACGAGATCCTGCCCAGACCTGTCCTCGACGATTCGACAGATTGTCCGCAAAAAACTTTTTCTATATGGAGAACAGACACATTCAGCAGTCGATCACTGTTCTGTATACGACCAACATTCGTTATATGCGCCATGAGAGGCTGTGACTGTGCCGCCTTATACGACCACTTGGCGATTGATGGTTAGTGCAGCAGCTGTTGAGTACAGCGCACCTCCACAGCCAAGGAGAACACAACGCTTGCCAGCTGCTCGCCATGACCAGCGCCCTCAGCATTCGCCTTCTTCGTGGTGCCTGGTCTATCCCCCTATGATATACGGGACGAACCAACCCACTACGCCAGGGAAGACGATCTTCGATACTTCGACGAACAAACAGTGTTTCGAGCTCTCACAGTTTGCTACTCCTGTGGTGTCCCACGACATCATTCGCGATTTTGCAACTGCAGACGTGTAGCTCCACGGTATGGCCACCCACCACACTTTGCACGGCCTTCCGGAAAAATTCGCGACGACCCGCGAGGAACATACTATGGCCCACCACAACACTCTACACGATCGTCTGATCGACCGCACGACGACCCGAAAGCAACACACCCGCTGCCTTGCGACGACTACTGGACACGCAGCCGCCGGAATCACTCCCCTACATCTGACAGGAGCTTGACGCCTTTACTGCCTCGTGTTCTCTGTTCTCCTTCACCACGGCGTCGCAACACATCTCCTTTGCCACAGGAAAACTAGCAAGCGCGGCCGATGGAGGTGAGGTTGCCGGAGATGTGCTAATATCAGAAATATATGTTTATGCTCAAGAACAAAGTACGTGTTTTTGTTGACGATGTGCCTGTGATGGATTTGGTGGACACAAAGGCAACAATTTCTGTCATGAGTGCGTGTTTAAAAGATACCTTGGGACGGAAGGTTTTATTTAAATGGAATCAAGCTTTGAAGTTTTGCAGAGTGAGTGGTGAGCCACAGCATCTTGTTCGTGTGTGTCAAGCTGACGTGTTTCTCGAAGGCCACGTTATCCCAATGGAGTTTGTGATTATTCCGCAGGCGACACACGATGTTATTTTGGGTATGGACTTTTTGAAGGAGTGTGAGACTTTTTGTGAGTGCAGGGGCGGGGGGGGAATCAGACGAGTCTTTGCCTTTATTTGAAGGAGAACCTAGCGCATGCCTATGCTTAGACTGAAATTTCACGAGTACAAACATTTCTTTTGTCGCTCCCTCTGTTTCAAGGTTACTGCTCATGCAAAGCAGGAAGCTTCGCCTTTAACTGCATGGTGTGTGCGCAGCAACATCTAGCACATGCACATTTCGTAATTTTTATACCTGTAGCTCACAGTGAGCAAACAATAAAGAGTAAACCATTGCTACTATGAGTCGAAGTAACTGTCCGACTTTGGTAGTTCACAACCGAATTCAGAATAACTGTAGTAAAAATTGCCAGCAACAAAATATAAAGCACCAACAAACCACCAAAGGCCTGGCTGCGTGGGATTCTCTCAAACGACAGTTGCGACGGCTGCCACATGGCGGCGCCACCATCTGTGAGAGTTGCGAACACACTCCCGATAACAATGCTCACGCCGGCCCCGCCCGCCAGCTTTCCCACTACAGATTGATGGCTCCTGAACAAACACAGAATCACCGTTAAGGTGACCAATATTGCAAACGATTTCCAGCGCATTTTTTCATTCTTCTCTTATCCCCAACGCGACGTGTCGGCTTGTTTGAGAAGCTACTTTCTTGCAGGTAACAGATGTTACATACAAAATTGTCCTGGACAAACCCACAACCCTGTGGCCACTGTTACTGGTGACGTCATCCACGTATCCAAGCTCAAGCGCTACCATTCGCCTTGTACTGTGGCCCCATAAACGCGCCAGGGCCGGCGCTTTTGCCGCCAGGGGTTGTGTTTCATGGTTTTCCCTAACATTCTTAATAGTGGAACAGATCATAAAAGGTGCCTAGGAAAAAGTAGAAGAAACTGATGTTTGTGTACCACAGTGAAGACATCATCATCATCGTGTGCGAGCTGTAACGTTACAAAAATCCCATATCTGGACCAGGTGCGTAGCCAGAAATATTTCCTTGAGGGGGAAGGAGGCACCTCTATGATTTTAGGAGGGGCACCTTCTTGAAATGGTCATTTTTCACTCTTTGTGCCACGGTGAGAAAATTTAGAGAGGGGGGCACGTGCCTAGTGTGCCACCCCTTGACTACGCTCCTGATCTGAACTTATATAAAAAATCCATATAAGGCTAGACTAAAAATTCTGTAGATATTACCATATAAGGCCTTACATGACATATATGGCCATATCTGCCTAATTTTTAATATACCCTTATATGGATATCTTAATATAATGTCATGTATGGCCATATCTGGGAAATCTTTATAGGCTCATATTTCACATTTTTATATATTTTCATACATGGTTGTTACTGGGCAGATTTAAACATATAAGCACCTAGAGCTCCTATATACTGCACATCTCAAGAACAATGCTGCCACCAAACAGGCTATATTTCGCTGGTTGATACGGAGAGTTTGTTGGCATCCCCAACCTGAAAGGTTTTCAATCGCTACTTGTATTAGATGCTTTGTGCAGGCACTGCCCTGTTGGAATAGGAAATTAGTGTCTGCATTTCGCATAAAACGTGCCATTCCAGGAAAGATCATATCAAGCTATGCAACCAGCTTCTGCAACCACATGAAGTTATATTTATGATATAATTCAAACTCCTTAGATGCATACTGCCTCACATTTAGAACATCATAAAAGAAGTCTTAATCAAAATGTTAGTTACCCACATGAGTAGCTGGGATAGACTTGGACTGTTTGAATATATCACTCCACAGCAAAAAAAAAAAAAACAGAACATAATAACACTTGATATTGGTCCTACATGCATATGAACCAACAATTTATTTTTTTGACTTTCTGATAACTTTCAGCTTGTCCACCATGCTCCTAACTGCTCTGCCTTGGATGAATCAGTTTGATGCTTCTTCGTGTTAACTCGAACCATCTGAAATAAACCAAGACCAAATTTTACATGAGCTAAAATTTTCACGCAGGACACAAATACTGAAATCAATTGACAACGGAACCGTCAATAGGTGTCTGTGCAGCACGTAAAAAGTGGTTAGAGCCCTATATGATATAATATGTTTTTCAGACAGCAATATTATTATTGTGATATAATATCATACATTATGTGATATAATATCACATTTCAGACACCAATATTTTTGCGGAATGTAAATTACATAAGTTGCAAAGTTACAGAGCTATAAGCAGGTAAGAAAATTCTGCGTACATTACCATGTATTCCTCAACCAAAATTGTCTTTGTAGTATGCACAATAGCAGTAAAGCACAGACACCATCGTGAGGACGCAACTAAACACAACACACAGGAAAAAACAGTTGAGTGCAGGCGCTTTCTATGTGTTATGATTAGTTTTGCCCTCACGATGGTTTTTACGTCAAAGCACCAACTCATCCAACAGTCAAACTCGTTTGAAGCAGTAAAGCAATGAAGAAAGTGGCCGCTACACAGTTCCCATACTATATGTAGATCTTTTTAACGTGGGGGCCGCCATGGTGCCTAGTGGGCAGTGCAGTCCCTGGCCTGGCAACCCAGTAAAGCGTGGGAAGCTACGCGCTTTTATGATAGGTATTCATGTGGTTGTAGTAGGTTTTTTCCATTCTGCTGTGTTGAATTTTGTCTCAAATGGTACAGTATAGATGGAAAACAAGTCTGTGAGAAATCCTGAAAGGTTTTCATCTATTAGGGGTCAAATATGATAATACACAACATCGTGAATGTGTCGCAAGTGGTCGGTGTCGTATGTTTTTGGCACTCTTTCTGTTGTTAAAACACAGGAATACTTCGACCTATTCAAGCACAGAAAGCAAGTGCTGGCCCCCTTTGAAGATACAATGAATTCTTTTTCCTGGACTGTGATATTTAAGTTCATTTTTGCCCTTGGAGTTTGTGCTGTAGCAGCGGCTACTACCTGTACATACGATCGTGCGTGAGCACGCAGTTGCCCTTTCTTGGCGATGACGACATTTTTTGTTGCTCACGAACAGTTGTTTGTATTTTGCTCAACCTTTATTGAACCCTTATTACTCGCTCATTTATTGCCCACCGGTGTGAACAAAATTAGAACTGGCGGTGCTGGTACACAAAAAGCGATGCTGAAGTATACATGCCAGCACGCTTCAATTTTTTGTTTTGTTTTTAGAGTTGGGGTATTTGATTGGATTGCGGTGGCAATAAAGTGAAGATAGCCAAAGCTTTTTCTGACAAGTGGCACCCGACAGGCTCGAGCCTATGATTGGCACAAGAGCGATTTTGTGTTTGTTTGTTTTTTAATTTTAACTACTATATGTAAGGCTTTTGCGAAATATTGCTTGTCGTTTGCAAACCTAAGCAGTGAAATTGACAGTTATTAAAAAAATAGACAACTGCAAGCTTATTTTCCGATAGGAAGAGCATTGACTATGTTGTACAACATTGCGCATCTTGTCAAACACGGTTCTTGACCATGTAATACTTTTCTTCCAGTTATTGCAAACACGAAGTGGCACTCTTTTTTTTTTCATGATTCAGCTTTCATATCGCACAACGTGAATGATACATCCCTCTCTCTTACGTAAGTTGTACACTCACAATAAGTGTTTTGCCACATAATTCTGCAATAAAATTTAGTGAATATTCGGGTAGCACAAAGCCCGTGCACCAAAAAATAATAAATGTCTCATGCCGGTCACCCCATTGCGAAGCCAGGGGTTTCTTGTTTGTGTTAATACAGCCACATCAACTACATTGATCACAGTGTTGAGCCAAGCAACAAGACTTATTGTTTTGACCGAACCCATTATACTAAGAGCCAATTTTAAAACAAAGCCAAAACAACACAGGTGGCTACATGAGTGGTGCTTAGATGTTTTGTTACAAATAGGGCTGCACTTCACCACTTATGTATGGTCATCAATTTAACCATATCTGATTAGAACACTGGGCATTCCGGGATAACTGCGGCACTTGCCGATATTAACTTGTCACGTAACACAATGTGTTTGGCATTTGGCTGAGCGTTTGGGGATGCGTGCCGCATACTATTCAGACGTATTCAAATGGCAGCTTCCTTTTTTTTTTCAGTATTTCTAAGAACAATCAAAGAGGCACAGTGGCTTCCCATTGACCTTTCGCTGGCTGACATCACCATAAAACAGAAAAAGATCTGCAGTTTGACCTCAGACATGCTAAATTTTTTGACCATGCCCCTTATCCAAGCACCAGACAATACATTCCGCACTGGCAGCACGCTTCAGAAAAGAGGAAAGTGCTGGTTGCCAGTGTGATCCTCCTCACCAGATGAAATGGTCTATAGAGAGTGGCAACAGTAATGAGCTGCTTAATGCAAAAGCTAATTTAAAAAAGCTTCAAATATAAAATTTTGCCACAGCAGATCATGAGACATGTGCCTTGTATTCTGTATATTGTATGCATGAAAGAAGTTTCTGTAGTCATGACGTGTGCAATAATCTGTTTATGATTGCTGTAGACTTATTTAAAGAGCACGATGTTCATGAGTGAGGATGGCGAAAATAGTTATAACGGGTCAGGTAACATCAAATTATGGATGTAAGTTTTGCATGCTGCATTCTTTTATGATTTAAGAAATAAATAGAAGGCATATGCTGTGTTCTTTACCAGCTTGAAATTGAGTTTATGTAACATTGGAGTGCATTATAAAGGTGTATTTCTGACAATATTGTAAGACAGTAGCAGCGTTGGGGTCTCGACGGCGTTTACTAGGCCGAATCGCCTGATCAACGCTCCGAACGAAGACGACGTTTTTTGTGATGGTGATTATATACAGATGAAGAAGATGAAGGTCAAACGCTGTGAATATTGTGCTTACACTAATTTCCCCCCAGCGCGGAAGCGGCCAATGTGGTCGCTGTTTACGACGGTGGTGTACGTCGCACGAATGATTTTAAGCGCGACACGTGAACAACCTTCATACCACGAAAACGTCCGTCGGAAGGCATGACAACAGGGGTTACTCGGTTAAACAGTCTTGCAATATCTCTACTGCAAGACTGTTTCTCATTACTTCAATATAACCAATCATTCATTATATCCCATTTAATTATGTCGTGGTTTGAGTGTATGTTACTAGAATTTTTGAGCAGGAATGCCAAAATGTTTCTAGCCTTTTTAACGTTTTTATTGTCTTTAAATGTCACGTTAAATGTTACGTTAGCCATATGACTTCGTTGTGTAGTCACTATTGATGATAGTGTGGGCGAGACCGCGAAAAAATCGTGTGACGGTTGCGGAAAAGAGTATTTTCGTTTTCAATCCATGTGCACTGGCTGCGCATGGATTGCACGAAAACCAAGTCGTTTTTTGCTATCTATGGTTGCATCTGCCGTAATTTTGTCCGCAGCGTTTGTGGAAAGCAACATCACTTTGGTCGAGCATTGGACGTGCGTGCACTTCTAGACTTCTGTCAGTTACGCGGCTGCCATATATGATCGTGTCCAGAGCGACCACGGTTTCATCCACCGCTGTTGAGGCAAACGATAGCCACAGTTCTGACAGTGTGTGCGCTGGCGACACCCGTCCTTCTAAAGCTTCGAGCACACTGATCTCGGCCTTTGTTCTACGATTTCGGTATTAAAGTTCATACAACTAAGTGTGACGAAAGTGTTCAGAACGTCAGATTTTTGGACCAATGGAAAATTGTGAAATTTTACTGGAGAATTTCACAAATTCATATCTGCCGGTTTCACATCATTGAGATTCTCTTGTACAGTTAGATTAGCACCTCCTAAATCAATTTATAATAAAATGCGATAGGTTAGCAGTAAGCCCTGCATCAGATTGTGCGGCATTTTTGTCAATGCAGCCAGATCAAGCATAAATTTCAATTACTACATTTTTCTGACAACCATACGAACGTAAGAACTGGTTGAAAACTGGGAGTCCTTAACAAATCCAGGAGACTAAGCAGGTGCGGAACACGGTCCCGCACAACGAAGCGGCAGCGATAGGCGGCCCAGCGCATTCATGTAGTCACCTACTACAAGCATGCAGTAGGACTGAAGCGACACTACGCCACACGCATTCCGGAGCAAATAAGCGGGAATGATAGCTGTGATAGGGCTTTCCATCAGCGATCAGTCATACCAACGCGATCGTCAGTGGTCGCCACATCGTCTTTGTTTTTCCCTGAACTTACTCCCAATGTCATTTCCGCAATTGCACGGAATTCGAAATGACTTATCAGCTGATCTCCACACTTATCAACATGACTGAAAACCGTTCAGGGCACATTGTTAAGTCTGCAAATTCAGTGGAGCAGAAAAACTTTGACGCAAAATGTTATCGCTGTATGTAGTTTGTACGAACTAACCAGTAGACATAGGCCGAACACTACGGCTTAAGAGGTCCGCAAATGCGTTAGCTCTATGGGACTCAGTCTGGGATTACTCCCAACTTCGTTTTGACCATTAGTACACTTAAAAAAGGGTACGCACTAACGAGGTTTGACTGGAGTAGATGCTAGGGCCTTCTGTTTGAGAAAATCATGTCTATAGGTTTCCAATGACTGATACACAAGCTTTTTTTTTTTTCATTTGCAAATAGAGTGTCATGTAAATTTTTTGGAGCCATCATCTTGCTTTCCTGCTCCATTTGGTTTCAGTCCTTTCTGATGCTAAACCCCTCAAGAGAATAAATTACTATTGTATGCTAGGCTAAACAGTCATCTATCTGCCTGCTTAGCCCCCATGATGTCCTTGTGCCCAACAGTGGTAATTAAATTTTCCCTATTGAAACAAGAATAAGGAAGAATATTCTAGACAAACTAACTTTGGCTAAATTTCATGTAATCAATGTAACAGGTACGAAAGAATGCAGTGATTATATGATTGAAACTTGACCAAGCCAAGAGTTGAAGACACATTATTTTGTTAAAGGGGTCGTAAAATGTTTTCAGGAAAT